AGATACCATACTTTACACAATACTCACCTAGTTCCACACAATATGTTTATGTTTTTCTGTTGTTTAGCTCTGCCTTAACAGGACTGTTTAAATCCCTTGAACTGACAAGGAACCGTGTGTATGCCCACCTATTTGTAGGCATATCCAATTGATATGGGACATGGACAGGTGTGATAAGAGCAAGGTAGGATTGGGGTGAGGTATGTACCCATACATAAAATTGATTTGTTACGTAAGCGTTTGTGTTTTTCATGATAAATTGTTACGTCAAAAATGTACCTTAACTTGGGGAAAGGGTCACGGAGTGAAAAGTAAGAACGAACGTAATTTGTCACGATACGTCTTAATCATTGTGACTAAAAAGTAAACGTAATCTATAACAGAATCTGATTTGTATTGCTTGTGGACTATTCACAAATGGAGGTCATATCGACTATTGCATATAATCACGTATATCCGAAGTTATATGAAACCATATTGATGCACTTAACGTCTGGTACATATAGATATATTTCGGTGATACCAAACGTGACATCTAACATACGGATAAGTACGTAACCAGGCGGATGTGTTTTCAAATCAATGTACCTTTTCATTTCAACAACGTCGCAATTATAAATGTAATCGAAAAAAAGTTACCAAGAATTACATCAATAAAGATTTTTACTGCTTACCTTATTTTAACATTATTATAAGAACGTTAACAGACGGGTGTTTTCTTACATAACAAAGTACATGTACTTTAACCTTCCTCATATTTATCATTATCGTTTACACTTCAACAACGCCACGATAATTAATGAAATTGAAAAAGGTAACATTGAAAAAGAAATATTCATGTGCCATACATACATAACCAATATATCATACAGCTGTCCTTATATATATATATATATATATCACATCGGTGATACTAGGGGCCAAAACGTTGAAAATCCTATTTTGTCAAATTTCTTTTGAAACAGAGGGGGGTGCGGAAAACATCTATATAACTTTAACAGCCATCTACTGCAATCTATAGTATATTAATTACTATAGCTTTATATTTTAGCATATAGTAAGCCTTTTTTTGACAGTACTACATGACTTTGATCATTGTGAAATTACCTATATAAAGCAGAGCACATCCTGGTAGTAAAGTGACATGACGGTGATATTCGGGAAAACGAAGGTCACGAAACGAATTCACAAGCGCTCAATAATTTGTACATAAGTAGCAGAATGTAACAAAACCGCCATTACCCGGGATTGCAATATTATAGATGAAGAAAAAGCAATTAACCCAATATTGAGATGACTCTGAAGATTTCAGTTAAAATAAATCGTCTACCATTATCAGATACAATGGAAACATTTTAATGAGTATTTGCAAGTAAACTTCAAATATATAAAACCCATGGATTTAAGATGATTACCATTACATTACTTATATAACTGGATATACACCAAATCAAATTGTCAAAGTTTAGTTAAAATCTGCAAAAGTTTTGCTTTTAGTACAAAGAATATACCTTTTATACTTAAGGTCAGACTACACTACAACACACTTACGGGAATTTTGCCGGTTCACATTTACCACATTTCAGGTTTTTGTCATCGTAAACTTACTTTACAAATTACTTACTGATGTCCACAAGTTTACACTGCTCCTCAATGTATAATAGACTCCGTTCACTACCTGTCCCTGGTCTAATCTCATTGATAACACGCATAAATATTCAGGTGTTTTGCACTTAAAAGATGCACCCAAAAACAGAATCGATATGAGGCGTGGGTGCATACGTAATCCATAGATACTCGTTACGTAAGAGAGGTACGTAAATGAACAGGGTGTTTAACTAGACCGGGTGTATTTAGTGTCGTTTATTTCCACGATTGGTAATGGGGATTTTCCTTCTTTGATTTCTTATGTTAGTAACTTAGTAGATAATTTTAGCCTTCTAGACAATACCACATTTACCTATTTAACATGTAACGAAATACATACCTGTATACTTACATACGAACTAAAACGTGACGGTTGTATTACAAGATAAACATAGTGAAACTCGTTGATCGCTAATATGTACCATCGTACGTTCACACTTCATCAATAATCTTATTTTAAATTTTGTTTTGGTTTGGTTTAATTTTTTAACATCCTATTAACAGCTAAGGTCATTACAATAGGAATAAATTACCAAGGATACACAATTACAGATACACACAGCATACCTGTATATTTACATTGTACATGTACATACGAACAAGGATGTAACAAGGCGAATATCTCGGTGACAATACAGGCAATCACTTCAGTCCCCTTTAGTTTTTTAATGTGAATTTTACATTTTAACAACGGTTCTATGGTATGAAACACCCTTAATTCCTTAGTAAACTAATAATATATGTATAACTTTTATACCTATTTTATTAACTAACTGAATCATAAGAATATCTGGCATTTACGTCGCTGGTTCTATCTCATTCATAAAAGTGAAAGTGAAATGCACCTCATTCAAGTACCTTTTTATATCCCCGTTTAAAGTTAAAAAATAAATCACGTGATCGGGTGATGTCCGTACATAAACGTTATTCTCACGTTTTTGTGGCCTGATATAAGTAAAAGTAAACATACTCTCCTTACTCGGAAACTCTATTAACAGGTCCTAAGTAAACCAGTGCCTGACTTCTCATAAGCTCGTATAACTTAGTGACGACTGATAAGAGGGATGAACTTTCAAACGAATTTCGTATTCATATGCCGTAGTGTATGACGTGTCAAACGTTGCAATATTCAACGATTTTATATTTATGTTCGAAATTTCATATTTGTATTGAATAATTGTAAATATATGTGCAATAATTTATATTTGTATTCAATAATTGTAAATATATGTGCAATATTTTATATTTGTATTCAATAATTGTAAATATATGTGCAATATTTTGTATTTGTATTAAATAATTGTAAATATTTGTGCAATAAACTATATATATTTGTTCGATAAAAAAAAGGTTCAGTACAAAAATATTTGTATTCAATAAAATAATATACGTATGCAATATATAGGATCTTAAATGAGTTTTCATTTCATACGAGATTTTATGAAACAAGTCTTATGGGTTTATATTTTTGCGAACCTTGGCGCCTGGTACGTTGGCGTCATTCTACACTAACGTACCAGACCCCTGTAGCTTCGAGGAGAAAAAAATCAGCCTTCTGTATCCCATTGTGTGTTATCGTATCTTTGCCTCCCCCTCCCCTCCCCCTCCTCTCACCATCGAATTAGGTTATTTTCTGTATCATTGATCGGTATCGTCTGATCATGGGAACAAAGGTAACAACACTTTGGATCACTCACATTCTCTCTATATACAATTTATTTTCTAATCTTCAATCTCCATCGAGGAACGTCGCTAAATGACCTCAGCTGTTGACAGGATGTTAATCAATATAAAACCCCAAAAAAATAGACAACTGATTTCATTCGACATTAATGTCGCCTGTAAATCAAACTCCATACAAACAATAAAGCAACACTCCTTTCAAACGGGTTGTATTACATAATTTGGATTGTAGGTACAGGTGTCTGCATGGAAATGTATACCTGTATCATACGATCATACGATAACATTGTCGTCTGATATACCTGTGTACATAGTGTTTGGCGTTATATGATTTACACACGAATGACAATCTTGAGTACACATATAAATTGCGTTTTATTTTTTATCATTATAGTAAGCACGTGATTAACGAATGATTTAACTCACACATAATGGTTGTTGTTATTATAATTCCTCATAATGTCTATAAGCACATATCAATATGATTTTAATCCAAAATTAATTACAAAAGTTATTTTGAGTGTAGAAAATAATGTTTTAGTGAGGGTCTGCCTTTGTTATAATAGGTGACCGACAGCTGTCCTGTTCGTTAAATATTTTACGTGTTACTGGCAATTACGAGTAAACTCGTTTAGAGATAGATGTGCTTTGGAATGCTACAACAGGCGCACCGCCTTTTCATCATATACCATTGATAAATAGTATTCAAACGGGACCATGTAATTCACTCCGGGGTATCAAGTGTCCTATTGAGATCGTGACAAGAATGAAACTAGCGAAAATATAAAAAGAGTGAAGTGTGGATCAACCGTCTCTATAGAGATACTTGACACAGCACGTGTTAACATAGAACACACCCATTACTTACAAATAACTTATGCAGTTGAATAAAATAATCAACAATCTTTAAATTTGACAATCCTTTGTCATACATTCAAAGCCTTTCCCACATTCCTGAGCAGGAGGATTTTTCATATCAGTGCCATCTACGTTTCTAGTGTACAGAGTTTAGTTAAATCAAACATGATTACCTGGATGATGAGTAATCATTTTCATCATGATAAACAGCAATTTGTTTTCAGCAATTTATTTTACATTTCAGTTATTGTTTTAAAATTGTAAATCTCATAATATTATTGCAAAACTATTTTATTTAAAATCAAATGTGCTTGGACATATATGTGAAAATAATCACTTCGTGTAATGTTACCCAGAACAAAACGGATTCAATTTGACACTGGAATAACATACTATCTCATGCCAACGAAAGTAATACAGATTAATATTGATTACAGAAATGTATGATAATGTATATAAAAGTCTGCCAAGAAGATTTTCCGTATATCTGTTTACAAAAAAAACATTGAGTTTAACAGTTTTCCGGACGATTTGTTCATGCTCATATCAGTAAAGATCCTTTCATAATTAAAATCAATCTAATCTGGTAGCGTGATTGTTCCCTGAAATATCATGTAAAAATCACAAGACAAAACACTAACAGCTCCTTATAACAACTCGGTATACTATCGACATGTACATGTATACGTTTTATAATACTATACCTATCCTTAGCATATCTATCACATACCCGACCATATTTAACTAAGTGATGTGACGATGACCAAGGCTGTACATCGTATTCTTATAAACAATTTCCACATATTACTCACATATTTCCACTGAAACACTTCTTTCTCCGAGTTTGTAACTGTCTGTGAAGTACAGCGACTAATCCTGGTGGATCTCATTCATAAAACGCGTGACTGTTCAGGCACGACGGAAGTGACGTACGCTATTGTATAATTATACCAGGTGAGGTAGAAGCTTTAAACACTTAACAGGAATCGTTCACATAGTTCTGTAAGCGACACTTCTGCTTGTGAACATGTTAACTCTGTGTATTATCACTTGTGATAACCCCCAGTTAAGTGGACAGTAAGCATGGTCTCCTTAATCTCTGATACAATATTAATAGGTCTTATGTAAACTAGTGTATTGTGTATGACTACTCGTTGAACGATATCAGGAAAAGTTAAACTTAAATAGACAACAAGATTAAAGCGTTTACATTAAAATGGTTTTCATATACTGAATCTGAATTTTTCCAGTGTTCTTGCAAGTACAGTGTATGAACTGAAGAAATGTTACACACCACATGAGCGGCCGTAGTGTTCATGCAAGTACAGTGTATGAACGGAAAAAGATGTTACGTACACACCACATGAGCGGCCGTAGCAAAGCGAATGCTTTCAAATTAAAATTAATGAATAATACAGTATATGTGTTAGTAAATTCACCTCAGTTGATACTTGTTAATGTTGGAAACATCCAGATTTATTCCTTATATCGCCACTTATTTGATTACTGTGCGGACCCATATGCTATCGAAAATAAGTTGTATCGATGAAACTTTAAGTGAAAGAAAACGTTTAACTTTTTCCAAGCTGTTGTTATCCTGTACTTACTCTACATAATACTCACCAATATACACAAAATATGACAGACTCCGTTCTCTACCAGCTCTTGGTCTGATCTCTTTGGGAAAACACAAGTTCTGGCAAAACAACATAACCAAAAAAAGGATCGATGTAAGTTAGAGGTGTAACGGTACATAACTGGATAGCTACCGAGGCGATGTATGTGAGATAACACAGGGGACCACTTGGTTCTCCCTTTACAAATATGGCTTGGCTATGACACTGCATATTTTACCTGTTTACTTTTTTGCTATGTAAATAATCAGTTGTGTATGAACGGAAGAAGATGTTACTTACACACCACATGAGCGGCCGTAGTGATCATGCAAGTTCAGTGTATGAACGGAAGAAGATGTTACTTACACATCACATGAGCGGCCGTAGTGTTCATGCAATTACAGTGTATGAACGGAAGAGGATGTTACCTACACACCACATGAGCGGCCGTAGTGTCCATGCAAGAACAGTGTATGAACGGAAGAAGATGTTACTTTCACACCACATGAGCGGCCGTAGTGTTCATGCAATTACAGTGTATGAACGGAAGATAAGGCTACTAACACACCACATGAGCGGCCGTAGTGTTCGTGCAATTACAGTGTATGAATGGAAGAAAAGGTTACTAACACACCACATGAGCGGCCGTAGTGTTCATGCAAGTACAGTGTATGAACGGAAGAAGATGTTACTTTCACACCACATGAGCGGCCGTAGTGTTCATGCAATTACAGTGTATGAACGGAAGAGGATGTTACCTACACACCACATGAGCGGCCGTAGTGTTCATGCAAATTCAGTGTATGAACGGAAGAAGATGTTACTTACACACCACATGAGCGGCCGTAGTGTTCATGCAATTACAGTGTATGAACGGAAGAGGATGTTACCTACACACCCCATGAGCGGCCGTAGTGTTCATGCAATTACAGTGGATGAACGGAAGAGGATGTTACCTACACACCCCATGAGCGGCCGTAGTGTTCATGCAAATTCAGTGTATGAACGGAAGAAGATGTTACTTGCACACCACATGAGCGGCCGTAGTGTTACTAAGACACCACATGAGCGGCCGTAGTGTTCGTGCAATTACAGTGTATGAATGGAAGAAAAGGTTACTAACACACCACATGAGCGGCCGTAGTGTTACTTACACACCACATGAGCGCCCGTAGTGTTACTAACACACCACATGAGCGGCCGTAGTGTTACTAACACACCACATGAGCGGCCGTAATGTTACTAACACACCACATGAGCGGCCGTAGCAAAGCGAAGGCTTTCAAACAGTATAGGTGTTAGTAAATTCACCTCAGTTGATACTTTTTAATGTAGGAAACATCCAGATTGATTTCTTATATCGCCACTAATTTGATCACTGTGCGGACCCATATGATAACGAAAATAAGTTGTATGGATTAAATAAGTGAAAGAAAACGTTTACCTTTTTCCAAGCTGTTGTTATCCTGTACTTACTCTACATAATACTCACCAATATACACAAAATATGACAGACTCCGTTCTCTACCAGCTCTTGGTCTGATCTCTTTGGGAAAACACAAGTTCTGGCAAAACAACATAACCAAAAAAAGGATCGATGTAAGTTAGAGGTGTAACGGTACATAACTGGATAGCTACCGAGGCGATGTATGTGAGATAACACAGGGGACCACTTGGTTCTCCCTTTACAAATATGGCTTGGCTATGACACTGCATATTTTACCTGTTTACTTTTTTGCTATGTAAATAATCAGTTGTGTATGAACGGAAGAAGATGTTACTTACACACCACATGAGCGGCCGTAGTGTTCATGCAATTACAGTGTATGAACGGAAGAAGATGTTACTTACACACCACATGAGCGGCCGTAGTGTTCATGCAATTACAGTGTATGAACGGAAGAAGATGTTACTTACACACCACATGAGCGGCCGTAGTGTTCATGCAATTACAGTGTATGAACGGAAGAAGATGTTACTTACACACCACATGAGCGGCCGTAGTGTTCATGCAATTACAGTGTATGAACGGAAGAAGA